AATCGTGACGTATATGGCATCGACACGTCCAAACACTCCGCCGAACAGGCTCGCGTTGCTGCCAGACGTGTCGCTGCATGGGGTTGCAGTCATGTCACAGTCAGGGCAGTGCTCGCACATTCGCACGCCAAAGATGTGCCGACAAAGCAACCGCAGTAAAACGTGAAAAGCATCAACAGAGGCCAAGGGATCACGGGCCAACAACGCACGGCGCTGCTCCCAGGATGGAAGCGCGCGACAAAATTTTTCGAGATGGATTGGGAAACAAAGGTCGCCATCTAGCGATGGGAACTGCCGATCTCCTGAGCACCACTCCTGCCACACCGATGCGCTGCGCACTGGATCGGATGCGCGCGTTCGCGACATGCGAATGAAGAGCCACTGGTGCGCCTCATCGGGCGACACCGTGATGAACAACGGCACGCCGTAGCGGACCCGCATCGCTTCAATTTCAAAACGCATTTGGCGTCTTGCTTCTTGCGTTCCTGGCAAGCTGCGGGCCGTATGCTTCATATTTTTCAACAGCTTGCGCGCGGCGGGGCGCAGATTTCGAACGTATGCCAACTTGGAGACGTCGCCATTCACGGGTCGAAGGTTTCCACGGACATCCGCATACGTTCCACTCAAGGCATTCAGTAATTGCAAGGCGCCGGCTTCAACTTCTTCGGCACGCAGGGCACGAAATTTTTGTTCGGCTTCATAAAAGATTGGCGCGTCGTATGGGGACAGATTCCGAGACAAATTGATTGCCGACCGGAAATACAAATTCCAACTCGTGAGTCCGAACGTCCAATCCCGATTGATTTGAGATTCACAGCGCCGGGCCATGCAACGCATCCAAGTTGCGAACTCGACACGCAAAGCATCCGGTGGACGGCGGTGCCGAAGTTTGGGACTCCAGCTTGGCGGATCCGGCATTCCACTTCCATACGGGAAGAGAAAAGCAAAGGCAAACGCGAAATACCACGGTTCAAATTGATCCAACAAACGATTGCCGGTGTAAACCACCGCCGTGGTGGTTTCAGCTCTGCACGCCTCGCGTGTCTGCACCACGGCCTGCAAGGCTGCCACGTGCGTTGCATTAGGATCAGCGAAGCCGCCGCTTGTACGCTCGCTCACTACAGCGTTCGGCTTGCACATGTACGCAAACTCGGCTTGCACGTCTGCTTCCGACAACATGGCCCGGGTTGGCGTTGCTGCTTTTTGGCGCTGCACGTTATCCAAGTCTGTGTCATGAGGCAACCAAGCGACGATCTCTGCTGGGACACCATCTTCTGGCAGCTGTTCGGCACGCTGCACTACTTCGTTCATGTTCAGAAAGTTGTAGGCAGGGTGTTCCCGGGCCTTCGCATCGGCAATCAGCTGCAGCACGACGGCCCGCCGCACGCGAGCTTGGTGAATGATCTTTGCGGCGTCATCGCGTTCGGACAGTGGTCCTCCTGCTTTGATGATTACAATGATTACCGCAGCCAATTCGACCCCAACTTTTGGTAGGCGTATTTCTCCCGCAGCTGCTTCTGTAGATGCTGCTTGCAAGTTTTGCAATAACTCTTCCCACGCTAATGGGAAGGTTGTGGCATTCCCTCGGGCAACCAAACGGTTCCGATTCATGAACGCATCTTGATCCAATGCCCGGTCTCCTAGCAACTTCTTCTCCAAACTGAAGCAAGCCATGGCAGTAAAACACGGGCTGGCGCACACTAATTCCATGAAAGTAACTTCTTCCTTGTAAATCATGCGGGGCGTATAAAAAACTAACATGTCGTTCGCCAACGCCAGCCTGGACGCCTCTTTTGCGCGCAAGCTGTCCCGGCAATGCATGCATACTGGCGCCCAGCACGCCGAGCAGATCCGACCAGGGGGGCAGCGCTTTGCGCAGACTTTGTCTTCAGGACAACATATTATCGACAAATTTTGCCCATCAAGTTCGACATCAGCGCACCAATCTTGCAACTCGGCGCGCAAGCGTTCTCGGACTGTTCTCCCGTATTGCATGGCATAGGTGCTCCAATACGTGTCTAAACTCAGCCATCGTTTTGTTTCTTCCAAAGACAGGCCAAGAAAATGCGACTTCCCCGCCAATTGTTTCCATTGTATGCGATCGCCCTCGCCCATGGCGTCGGCATACGGAAACCGGCGCGCGCAAAGTAAACAGATGCCGGCCCCGATCTTGTCACCGCTTTGCGAGTCGCGATACTGCCGCAGACAACGCCTATCAATGGCAATGTGAGCTGTGGGTGCATCTTGCTGGCATGCCCAGGTTAAACCTGCCCGGTATGCTTCCAACATCTTTGCCTTGGTTGCTGGTTTGGATGCCAAAGGTTCCAGTGCCCGGCGATGCTCTTGACAAACATGTTCTTCAAACGCTTCCGCTAGCTCCGACTCAAAATTACACCCTTCGAAAGAACAAATGTAATCCGGCAAATCGAAAGCCGCATCTCGTGTTGCTATAGCCATCCAATGGGGCAACGTGGGTTTCTTCCGAAACTGTTTTCCCAACGCCTCTAACACCATGTCACCCTGGGCTCGTGGGTCAGGGTTTCCGTGTGTAGCGTGCCATGTCCGCAAAATATACTCATCGAGTGCAAGGCCGTGATCCAATGCATCATCTCCTTTGACATCGTTCCTTGCTAGACCTTGTTCGGGCGCCGGCTGTTTTCCGCGTAACCTTTTCCGAGGCAAACCCAGGCCTTCAGCCAGCGGCCTCTTGGCCGCTGCTTTCTTCCCGGTGCTGCTTGCATCCTTGTCGGTAACCTCCGTTTCCGATAGTTTCTGCCGATTGCTTGCCACAGCTTCCTCCACCTCCATAGCCTCCGCCTCTGCGGCCGGTTCCACTTCTTTCTTCCCGCCCTTTCCGCTCATCGACTCGCCTAATCTTTGCCCGGGACCTTGGGTGTATGTTGCGTAGTGCGCGCGCCATTCCCCAAGCAAGCGTCGCGCAGCATGCATGCCCGCATCCATGTACGTTGTGTTCGCCTGCAATAGCATATGCAGTTTCACCGAGCATCTCTCCGCATCATCCCAAGCTTCCATGATGTCGCGAGCGTCTTGCGTGTTCACGTTGATGCCAGTGCCGCGTGACCGGAAAAATCCGTCCAAGGCCTGATGAACTCGTTGCAACTCCATGCTAGGCGGTCTGTGGCCTCGGTCTTCGTGCCTCGATCCTTCATCTTCGGTTGTGTGCGCTTGGCTTCCTCTCGCACATGATTTTCGTTGGTTCCCACTCTGCGCCACGGCACCAACCAACGCGTCAAAATGATAGCCTTGTCCTGTCGGATCTGTGTGATTGTACACATGCAGCGTCTGGCGTTCATACACGACGCGGTCACCCCAGGTGAAATCCACGTGCGACAACTCTGTACTTGCCATGCCCAACTCTCCGTGATCCATGCAATCATAAAAAAACACCCGAAGAGAAACATCAAGCTTCCACAGTCGTCGCACGAAGAAATCGAGGATACGTGGTGTATCCCGGTGCCCATCCAGGTACACACCACGGGGGACCCCGTGTCGCACACACAAATCTTCTCGACATGTGGCACATAGCGCTTTGCGTTCGGCCATGGTGTATTCTTGTGGAGTCAAGCCTTTGTTAACGAGGCACAGCAAAAGTGAATCGATGAGGCAGTTATTGACACCATGCGACGATGCAACTTTGAGGTGCAAGCCGCGAGCAGTCAATTCCTGCAACCGACATGCATTGGTCATCATGTTTCGGGGCATATTGACGCCAGCGATCTGCAGCAAACGCTCTGCGACGTTCCTGGCAACAGTGTCCGACCCATCCGCCTTTAACTCTTCCCAGCCGTGCCAGGTGTCCACCCAAGATTGGTTCAGCACTGCAGTGACGCGCTTTTCGTCTTGCAGAACCGACAAGCAGATTGCAGCTACGAGCTCTTTCGCTTCTGGTGGCGGGCCACCCCCGCAAAATCGCTTCGGCAAACGTTGGGTCGGCAGAGCGACACTGCACGCTACCACTCCGCGACCGAGACCTACACCATCGTCCACACTATCACTGTTGCTTTTGTTCCAGCTTGCAGCAGCAAGGTCCATAGCAGGAATAAGGACAACAGCAACAGCAACAGCAACAGCATGAACAACAACAACAACAACAACAACAACAACAACAACAACAACAACAACAACAACAACAACAACAACAACAATACCAACACCAACACCAACACCAAGACCACCACCAACAACAACAACAACAACAACAACACCAACAACGACAACGACATCGACAACTACAACTACAACGACAACTACAACAACAACAACAACAACAACAACAACAACAACAACAACAACAACAACAACAACAACAACAACAACAACAACACCAACACCAACAACAACACCAACAACAACAACAACAACAACAACAACAACAACAACAACAACAACAACAACAACAACAACAACAACAACAACAACAACAACAACAACAACAACAACAACAACAACAACAACAACAACAACAACAACACCAACAGCAACACCAACAGCAACACCAACAGTAACACCAACACCAACAACAACCAGGACAACAAGAACAACAACACGAAGAAAAAGGCGCAAACGAAAACGCGAGAGAAGAAGAACACACGGAACAGCAGGATTAACGAGAACGTCCACATCCAGGTTGCCTTTCTGCTCGATAGTCCTGCGGACCAGCAACAGTGCCAGCATGTGCCAACCATGCTGAAGTACACTCCATGCAGCCTTCCATGCGGGTGGTCGGTGCATGCGGCCTACCAAGCTGGCGGTAAATGCACGAGGTGCCGATTGGCACTGTCTCCCACTAGGGATGCCCTTTCGGGCACGGGCTAAACCCGCTATGTGCCAATCGGCACCTCGTGCATTTACCGCCAGCACGGTAGGCCGCATGCATTTCCCGCCCGCATGGAAGGCCGCATGCAGTTTACGCCAGCATGGTTGGCGAGCACGACTCCCGTGGCCGGTCCACATCGCTATCGATGCACTTGAGCCTTCAAACTTCAAGTCATTCAACCTCTAAGTCGCTAAGTTCAGCAAATCTCAGTCGTTTTGTGCCCAAAAAAAAAAGAGTCTATCAGGTCCGTCGCCATTTTCTTATAAATTGTCACCATGTGTCAAGCTTTCCAGAGCTCTCCAAGGTTATGCTGGCTCACCGGGTAACCCCAAAAACTTCGTTCTCCTCATTCGATCTACGTTGAGTCACAGAACTGGATGTCAATGCCGAGATTCTTTTTGAACATCGTCCAATTCAAGAGAACCACATCAATGTCTAGACACACAGCTGGTTGCTGTTGTCGAAAAAGGTCGAATGCCAAAATATCAACTTTAGCGACTGCTTTCGCATTTTTCCCAACTTTATCCGAGCTTTTCCCATGTTTCCCGACTATACTGGAGAGGCTTTGCTCGTCCCGTCTTAGGTCAGCAGCGGGCCATGCTTGGCCACCATTAGCTCAGGGTATTGGCCTATTTCAGCCATGGTTCAACCTCAGGAAAAATGGACCAAGTGCACGGGACACTCGAAAGACCACCCGAACTGGAGGCTTGGATAGTTGAAACCACCGTTTACAGTAGATTTTCACCCAGGAATCCAGAACCATGATAATTAAGGTGGACACTCCAAATCAGAAGTACGCGAAAAAAAATGATCTTCCATCTTGTGTATATATATATATATATGTGTGTGTGTGTGCGTATCATTATAATGTTGTGGTTTTGTTTTTGTTGCTTGCATGCATTCTACATAAGACAAGAAATGTGCTACGCAAGTGGTGTAACACCACCTGTGTTCAAGTTCCCCACCTTTTTGACCGAATGTACACGGGGACCGTCTCCCCAGTTGTACTTTGACCGAAGGTACAACATGTTTGCAATCAGCTACGGAATGTATGAAACATGCCTGGATATATTCCATGTATTTAGACTTAGTAAATTCAAGCCCCTGGGCAGCACGCGGCTTGAAAATACGTCAACTTTCTATATATCGCTTTATGATATGGAAGTCACTTTCCATAGTACACCAAATCACCAGATTATGCCAGATCCATGTGCCTGGCCAAGAGGCTTGGAAGGGAGCTGTGGTCGCGATACAGGCACTGGCGGCCTACCATCAATGGCTCTGATTCAAGTCATTCAGGGTACCAATTTTGTGTGTTGACAAGATGAGAAAAAGACTTCTTCGGGGCAAAGGTTGCGGTGCAATAATTTTGACCCCCAAATCGTATCCTCCAATTTGGTGTTTCGTTTTTCCAAAAATCCATGTTACCTGTTCTGTATATTTCTGTATCGTGGTCTGTCCTCCGAGTCTAAAACCGAAGTTTGCATCCTGATTCTGATATGGGGACTATTATTGAAGAACATTGCCAATAATTATACCTGTGGCAAAGCCAACACTATCCCTGGTAAAAGATATTTTTTTGGACACATGTGGATATTTATAGGAATCAAAAAACAAAGATCCCATACATCAATCGCGTTGACTTGAATTGTCAATTCAAATGACGATTTTCTCTAGTGCCATGTTTTATACCCTACTAATTGGATATACCTCTTAAATTTACCAACACTTAAATGCTCGTGATCGGCATCTCAGCTTCCAAATTCAACACGCGTAGATGTTACGATGGGTCTGGCTATTCAATGGAGAAAATGATCATCAACCAATGGATTTGCAGATGCCGTATTTTCTGACAAACCCAGATGCAATGGAAAATGCAACGCTTGTGCATGTTTTGCCTTTCTCTCTGGTAGTTTTTACACTGCCTTAGGAAAACCCCTTAAGCATCATCCGTTGATAGCATGGTGATTTCCCATAGTTGTTTTAGTTTACCAGAGGGTAAATCACAAGCGTTCCTAAACTGGAGGGGAAAAAAACATCTGGAGATTTACTAGATGGTAAATCTATCTATCGTTCATGTATGTTCAGTTATGAAAAATAGTAACTCACATTTATTCCCTTCACTATTCATTTCGGATGATTATTTGGGGCTCGATTCAATCTTGGCCAAAATGCACTGGTTCATCATGTTCCCAATTTAAAACCTACCATTTTGGAGAGGGTGAAGGGCGATTTCAATGACACCCAATTATCATGTTGTTGGCTATTTATCTATCCATCCATCTATCGATCTATCTATCGATCTATCGATCTATCTATCGATCTA